TAAATTCAATTGTTAGTAAACAAGATTAACCAATTTTTTATGATCAAGACTTTAAGGTTAAAGTCAACCATAGGTCAACATGGTGTAAATGGATTGAATGTTTGATTTTTAATTCTTGTTGTTTTAGGCTTGTGAGCCATTTGTTAATTTTGGACAAGTGAGCCTATTATTATTATTATTATTATTATTATTATGAGTGTCATATTCATTTCAGATTGCATGTCAACTAGTATAGGATACATGCTATAACTAGATTAATTGAACATGCAAGATAGCAAATATGAATATCATATTTGTATGAATATGCAGAAACTAAATAGAAGTAGATCACTGCAAAAGGGAAAATTTGAATTGTACATTGGCAACGAGCAAGGGTTGTCGCATTGCCTATAGAAGCATACTTGTTTCCTTGGCATTTAATCTTAGTATTAGAATTAGGAAAATGTTATTTGTTCCCACCTACCAAGAGTATTATTTCAATTTCATGTTTGGACATGAATGGTTTTTCAATTAATGTTAAGAACAATTGTTGTTCATTTTTTGTTGATAATATCTTAATGATAATGGTAAATTATTAAATAACATTTATATTCTACATACTAAATTTTATATTATGAGTATAGAAAATTAAAGGCATAAAGTGATAACCCAAAAAAATACCTATTTGTGGCATTGTAAACTTGGTCACATAAATAAAAAATGCATTTTCAAATTACATAAAGATGAATATTTGGGGTCAACATATTTTGAATCATTTGACAAATGCGAATCATTCCTGTTAGGTAGGATGAACACATTTCCTTTTATAGAAAAATAAGAAAGAAGTGCCCAATTACTGAGCCCAATATATAGTCATGTAAGTAAATCCATGTCAATTACTATTGGAGAATGTTTCTCTTATTTCACCACATTTATTGATGATCATTCTAGAAATTGTTTTGTATACCTGATAAAATTCAAACATGAAACTCTTGAAAAGTTTAAATATCTCAAGTTAGAATTAGAGTAACAATTACGTAAAGATATTCTCACACTAATATCTGATCGAGGGAGAGAATATCTTAAAGGTGAATTTTAGATTATCTAAAGAAGAATGAGATTCTCTCACAGTGGACTCCGCCGCATACACCGTAAGATAACGGCGTATTTGAAAGGAGGAATTGTACACTATTAAATATGGTATGATTAATGATGAGTTATGCTAACCTCCCTAAATTATTTTTGGGTCATGCACTAATTGCTGCGTGTTACACACTAAATTGTGTCACATATAAATCGATTGACAAAACTCCATACGAATTATGGAAATACAGAAAGCCCAACTTGTCTCATATAAAAGTTTAGGGTTATAAAGCTTATGTGAAGCGCACTAAATCGGTTAAATTTGAGTCTAAATTTGATAAATGCATATTTGTGGGTTATCAAAAAGAGATAATTGGATATCAATTCTATAATCCTATTGAAAATAAAGTCTTTGTCTCCATACAAATCGCTTTCCTAGAGAAAGAATTCATTTTAGAAAAGGACAATGGGAGCAAATTAGAATTTGAAGGAGTTCAAAAATCCACATATATAGTTGATCAAGTAGATGAACTTGAGTCTGATCACACTCATGTTGGGGACAAACTCTTAATTAGAAAGTGGAGACTTTTGAGGAAACTACGGCTTCACGTAAATCTAGTAGGATCATTCGACCTCCTAGAATGTACGAATTCACGATTACTAATCAGATATTACTAATCAAGGATTATGAACATACTAGTTACACAGAAGTAAATTCAAGTGTTGACTTAAAAATAGTAGAAGGCCATGGAATTCAAGATGAACTTGATGAATGTAAACAAGGTTTGTACCTTGGTTGACTCGCCGATACGATAAAACCCATAGGTTGTAAATTGATTTACAAGAAAAGATCAACATGGATGAAAACATCCATACTTACAAAGCAACGCTAATAGCAAAAGGTTATAAACAAAGACACGGAGTCGACTTTGTTAAAACCTTTTCACCTATATCCATACCTAAGTACATTCGGATTTTGCTTGCAATTCCTATATACCATGACTATAAGATATGACAAATGGATGTCAAAACTATATTCCTTAAAAGGAATTTGTAAGACAATGTGTATATGACACAACTTGAAGGTTTTGAATCCAAAGATGTTATGAAATTTTGATCAATCTATATATAAATCGAAGAAAACCTCTAGATGTTGAAATCTTAGTTTTGATGAGACAATCAAAAAGGTTTGATTTTTTTTTTAAAAAAAAGTGACATCCCTATGATCCATTAGGTGAAAAGTGGTTGTCAAAGAATTTTTCCATGAAAAATGTGAGAAAATCAACTTGATTTATAGAGAAAGATCTTGAAGATTTCTTAACTTAAAAAGACTTTATATGGAGATAATAAACTAAGAGATAATTGATACACTGATACTAACTTCTAATTAGACTAGGATGATAGAAAATCTAAATCATGATATGTATTTACTCTTAATATTGGAGCAGTTAGTTGGAAATGTTCCCAATGGAAAACAGATAAATAAAGTAAAGAAAGAATGAGTTCCCACAAAATCATAATATTACAAATTCAATGACAAAAACTTGTCGAGACATAAATATGATCGTCATGTAGGCTCTTATAGTATTAAATACATAAGTTATTGGATCTAATGCAAGTACGAGTTTGTAAGTGTTATACCCTATGTCTAATCGATTTTGGACATAAACACTTTTAATATGATTAATGCATTTTATTTATGACCGATCTATTATTTAATTGAATTATTATTCTAATAAATTAAATTAATAAAGTCCATACATTCAAGTTTTGGTAACTTGTTATTCACAATTGTGATTTTGATAAATAAATTGCATATAACTGAACCTTAAACTATATGTTGTTGTAAAGTAATAAGATACGGATATTGTTATTACGGATATACTAGTACGTGTGGCATTTCTCACTTACGAAGTAAGTAGTAGAATCCACTTAGATGCTTGATCAGAAGGCCCCTTACTTGAACTGTCACCTTCAACGATCCCAAATGCATTACAGACATCTCCAACACTGTACCTACGCTCCATGAGTCCAACACTAGTATGTGAACACAGTGAATCCGCTGTACTTGGTGGCAATGCGAGATCACCAACACTCTCATGAGCAATGTTCTGAACTGACCCAGAGCCTGTCACAAGAGGTACTGTACCAAATTGAATTTCCACCACGGTACTGAACTTGTCCAAATGTCTCTTAACTGGTTCT